GGGATGGGGATGGGAATGGGGATGGGGATAGGATGGGGGTGGGGATGGGAGTGGGATGGGGATGGAGATGGGATGGGAATGGGGTGGGGTGAGGACGGGATGGGATTGGGAAGGGATGGGGATGGGAATGGGCTGGGCTGGAATGGAATGGGAATGGGGATGGGATGAGATGACATTGGTGGGATGGGATGGGGATAGGAATGGGATGGGATGGGATGGGGACAAAGTGAGGATGGGGGAGAGGTTGAAATAGGGATGGGGACAGGACAGGGACGGGCTGGGGGCAGGACAGGGACGCCGTGCCCCCGCCCCAGGTTATCATCGGAAGCATCTTCGAGGTGATCTGGGCTGTTGTGAAGCCGGGAACATCCTTCGGGATCAGCGTGCTGCGAGCTCTCAGGTTACTGCGCATCTTCAAAGTCACAAAGTAAGTGCTGGCGGGTCGGGTCCCTCTGTCTGTCCCTCCGTCTGTCCCTCCGTCGGTCTGTCCCTGTCTGTGGGGCTGCCAGCACAGGGGCACTGCAAGCGTGAGTGAGCGTGGGGGTGCACGGAGCCATCGTGGGGTACCTGGGGGCCAAGCAGCTGTCCCTCGTCCCCTCAGCACCCCTGTGTCACCGTGTCCCCTCGCCATCCCCGTATCACCCTGTGTCCCCGTGTCCTGTCACCATCCCCATGTCCCCCCATGTCCCTGTGTCCCCTCGCCATCCCCGTATCCCCCCATGTCCCCATGTCCCGTCACCGTCCCTGTGTCCCCGGTCCCCCGGCGGCCCCCCAGCCTGGCTCTGCCCTGGCAGGTACTGGGCTTCCCTGCGGAACCTGGTGGTCTCCCTCCTGAACTCCATGAAGTCCATCATCAGCCTCCTCTTCCTCCTCTTCCTCTTCATCGTCGTCTTCGCCCTTTTGGGGATGCAGCTCTTCGGGGGACAGTGAGTAACCGGGTGGGGGACGGGGACCCCCTGGACCACCCTGCACCCCGGCATGGGGGTGTCCCTGTGCCCCTGTTCCCTGCTGGGGGCACCTGGTGGGTGTGGGGCTCCCACCGCTGCCCCCTCCCCCCAGGTTCAATTTTGACGACGGGACCCCTCCCACCAACTTCGACACTTTCCCAGCAGCAATAATGACGGTGTTTCAGGTAGGGAC